AGACCATTACCCCTGAATCTGAAGTTTAACGTCAATGTAAAATTTGCAGCTGGAGTCATTTCTACAGTTACTACCCTGAACTCATTTTTCACTAGCAGACCACCTTTCAAAACAGCTTCGGTCCACTTGATTTGAACCAAAGGAGAAATAGCGAGTGGTGACGCGAATCATCCCTATTTTGGTGGCCTGCTGGCTAAAGCAAGGTCTGGCGAGTGAAAAGGTCAGTTAACTTATGTTTATCCATTTAAAACCAGTTCCAAATAATTGTATGCTGCCTTAAAAGTAGTCTTTCGATAGAAGTTTCTACTTGTCCTCACCGAAAAAGTTTAAAATTCCCTAGAAAAGCTGTTTTTCTCTTTCTCGATATGATTATCATAATTTAATCCATAGAGAAGGAACGGGTGGGAATATATTAACATTTCAATCCAGCTCAAAATAACTTAATACAATTATTTTCTACTTTCTGTGCCACGGGTACCCCTACTGTGTGACCTATGGGTAAATAAGGGAGTTTTTAATCGTAGCTGTACATTCGATCTTGCCATAATCGGAAATTTTCCTGATTAATCTTCAGACGAGACAGGCAGTGACCGACTTTTTGCTTTGCTGTGTGTTGCGGAGAGGACTGCAAGGCTTCTGCAGGCACCGTTAACTCTGCCTTCAAAGGGCACTTTGGGAAAGAGCACAGACTTCGTCTAGAACATGAACCACCACAGAGTACCCTTCAGCTGACAGGCCAACAACTGGTTTAAGCAGAAACTTTTTAATATATTGATGGCTTAACAAATATCACAAAGGAAAGCATACGAGTGCGAACAATTTTGAAAATACATTTCTGTGGCTCATCTTTGGTAAACCCGTGTTCCTGCTGTTGGCTGCACTGCAGTTGAATATAGGTATTGGGTAGCCGCTCCGGGTGTGCCTGGAGGTTTATAAATCAATTGACATCGACAACAAAATCATGTGAACTCCACGACGGCTAGGTGAGAAATCTGTTGGAACTAATTAACTGATTCGTTTTACTACTTGTTTTTTTTTTTTGCATAAGAACTAAATCTGAAGAAGATTCTCAGCCCTTCTACACAGGTTCATGAATTCATAAGAACTCTTCTTCCCTGAGATGTGGTCCCATGACAACCTCCGTACCCCAACTGTCTCATGCAGTGTTGTGAGAACTGCTAATTGGCAGATTTTCAACTCAAGAAGTGAAACTACCTTCCCACTCACATCCTTTCCTATGTGTTCTGAAAAAAAAAAAAAATTTGAAAGACAAAAGAGAAGGGCAAAACCTCAGAAACATCATAACCCAGAGAGATCCAGTTTAATGCATAAAATATCTTCAATAAATAGTGCAGCTTCTTCTTCTCAAGCTGGCTCTTCAGGGCATAGATCCAAGTGGTGAGGTTTGTTCCATCTGATTTATTTCTATAATTTCTCCTTTAAGAAAAATGGCCATTTTTCTCAAAAGGCACTGATGACCAGTATATCATCCAGTAGTCATAAATGACTAAGCAGGACCCAAAACTCTGATCACAATCAGTGTTTTATTAACAGAAAGGAAAATTAGAAAGACAGCAAGAGCCTGACATTATCTGACTTTTGTGAAAGGCAAAGGATAAGATTTCTTTGTGCTCATTGTCATATACTTCAAAAAATGGCCACAACCTGGAAAGTCAATAAAAGATAAACTAAAAATCCAGAATGGAGAGCTTGAGACACTTGAAAGGCACCAACCAGATCGAATCAAATAGAAAATTACAAAGAGACTTCAGTACATTGATAACTCAAAATCCAAATTATAAAAGTCAGGGAAAACATAAATTGCATAAAACTTTTATTATTAATTAGCAGTGCATTCTTCTACACTTTAAAATAGAACAAAATATCTTTTGGAAGGTAAACTATTCATAACAAAATACATGTCAACAATTTTTATTTTTGGAGTAGAATTACTTTGCTATATACTTTCTATATTATATACATACACTTCTTGGTTTGTCTAAGTATCTACATGTGTACAAATAATTTTAAGACATACACATGTAGATACACATGACTAATATACACACATAATTATGGAAAATTTATAGTAGTCAATTTTACAATCATTTTAATAGCTGCACACAAATTAGTGTTCACAGAACTAAAACTGGCAACATGGTTCCCTTTTCCCCACTTCTCGAACATCGTCTGAATTACTTTTCACTGATAAATTTTAAAAATACTATCATCTTCCTATACAACTAACCAATCTTTTTTTTTTTTCACAACTCATAATAAAATATTTTACTCTTTTGGCTTTAGAAAAGGCATACAATTTAATTCCACTTATTTTAATTTTTGACTCCTAAAACATACAATTCATTTTTTCCCGTCACCTTTAGTGCAATTATTTGGTACTGCGGTTACTGAAGTTTAAGTCATGAACCTGAGCCAGTAATTCAAATGACTTTTTAAAATGGAAAACACCAACGCGCTGTTTTGCTGAAGCATGTGTAACAGCCTCAAGTTACCCCCTCCTAATAAATAGATTATAAAGAACTCAGTGGTGGCGAGCAGAGCACTTCATACGGATCCATTTAACTGTGTGAGGAGTCTGTTCTAAGGCAGCATGGAAAACAATCAGCATCAAAGGCTCCCCAACTGCCCAGAGAAACGAAGCCTCCGGGCTTCTGAGGCCGAAACACAAGATTACACTTAGTAAATGGGCCGTGAGTACCTGTAAGGAGTCCCTTGGTTCTCATGTCGGGCTTCTGATACCCTAGCTTGTGTGTTAGGTGTTTGTCATCTGTTTCAAACATATCTCCTTTGATACAGAGACCTACTTAGCAGCATTTTTTTTTTTTTTTCAGTTTTCTCTCTTCATTGATTTAAAACAGGTGCTGGACCATGTGTGGTTACAGCCGACAACCTCGTACCAAACGCAGAATGTCCTAACTGGGGCCAGGGCTCTTGTGAGAGGAGGAAAGAAATAAAGGCATTTGGAATGTTGAATCATTTCACACAGAGAAAAGCTGTGTTTTCAGGAGAAACATTCAGTGAATTCTGATCTCCAACTGGATGTTGAATTGTGTTAAAGCCCCACAAGGATGCAAAATGAAATGGCTGGCAACAAAAACAAAGGGAAAGGAAATGGCCTAAAGAAGCCATATCAACCGATCATCCTCCTCTCACCAGAGATCAGCTTGGATAAACTCATCATATTCGACTGACTTCCCAAAAGAATGAACTGATGTGCCACGTTCACAGTGGGAACATAAAAATCACTTTCTAAAAACTCTCTCCCTTATTTTTTCTTCATAAAGAGGAATTATGTATTCATTGTAGACAAAACCATACCAAACAAATTCAAAATACAAATTTTTGGTAGCAAACAGCAAGAAAAATCTAAGTCAAAATATAGTCTAGTTTTTACATAATTTTATATATTTATAAATTTATCAAAATAGTCTCTTAAAGTTCACAATACATACATAATGTAACACTGTACATGTAAATGTAATAACAAATGTATTACCGAAATACATTAAAAATAACCTTTCGAGATACCAAATTCAACATTAAAACTGTCTTAAAAAGTGTTAACAGCTCCATAAACCCAGTTTCAGTGCATTTAGAGTAGTCATTAGCCAGAGTTTTCTGGTTTCAAGTCTCTTGAAGGTCTTATGTTAGTGCTTTCCTTAATTTAAGGTAAGAAGGCAGAAAGACTCCTCCGGCAATCAGCTGCTCTCTCTCTACATTGCTCAGGCAGACGAAGACCTTGTGTCTAAGAGTGGAGTGCTTTCACTGGAGTGGCGGGGCCTTAGTAATGAACATATTCAGACTGAAGGGACTGTGTGGGGGAGAGACAGAAACCCAGGTTAAAGTCCATTACATACAAAACTGGTAGTACACCCTGCAGCTTCCTCCTTCAACACAAGGCAGTTTGCGTCTATAATATAAAAGATCAATGAAATAAACTAAGAAGAAAATAGAAAAGGATGAGAAAAACAAAGCATTTGCTAAGAATAAGATACTCGATAATGTGACGTGATTGCAAGAAAACCGTATTTTAAAAGGCTTACGATTTATTCATAGCAGTTAAAAATTAAGTGCTATTTGCAAATTGGCAGGTGGCACCAAACTCACTTCTAAGCTTTTGTGCAATAATACTGAGTTTGACTCAAAAATATTAAACGACATCTGTAACTAAATTGAAATTTATTAGAATATACTTTAAGATTATACATACTTTATTGAATCTAATGCATAACAAACAGTGCTTCTAAAGCAGTAGAATTAGCCGTCATTTAAATAAATTCCTTAAGAATGCTTGAATTTAATAAATAGCTTACAAATCCTTTCCATTTAGGGGGACACAGAGCACTACCAGCTTTGAAATGTAAGCTTAAGACCCAAAAGTATTTGTGCAGAAGAATCTTGCAGTCATAACATAATAAATAGTGGGCAGCTTTTGAGAAAAGTAAACAATGCAAATCCCTCCCACATCATATTAGATAATCACATATAAAAGGAACATGATGGGGATATGTAATCAAGAATGCACTGATAATCGGGGTGCCTGGGTGGCTCAGTCGTTAAGCGTCTGCCTTCGGCTCAGGTCATGATCCCAGGGTCCTGGGATCGAGCCACATCGGGATCCCTGCTCAGTGGGAAGCCTGCTTCTCCCTCTCCCGCTCCCCCTGCTTCTGTTCCCTCTCTCACTGTGTCTCTCTCTGTCAAATAAATAAATAAAATCTTAAAAAAAAAAAAAAGAATGCACTGATAATAGATATTAACCAGGAAAAGATAAAGATAGGTCGAAAAAATTTGCCAGATACTTATTTTTGAGCAGCAAAAAACAACTAGGGCGCCTGGGTGGCTCAGTTGGTTAAGCGACTGCCTTCGGCTCAGGTCATGATCCTGGAGTCCCGGGATCGAGTCCCGCATCGGGCTCCTTGCTCAGCGAGGAGTCTGCTTCTCCCTCTGACCCTCCTCACCTCATGCTTTCTCTCTCTCTCAAATAAATAAATAAAATCTTTAAAAAAAAACAACTAAAAAGAAGGAACACAAATCAGTCTGAACATTAACAAATTCTTTTGCACAATTCTTCTAATCTAACACCTTAAACAACAAAGTTTACTTGATTTGCTACCAAATGTCCTTTTCTCCTCCCCCAATAATTCTTTTTCAAACTGATCTGCAGCATGGTATTCATAGGTCTTCTTAATTCTGAGACTAGTCCATTTTGTTGAGGGTAGGCATATCAGTAAAAAGAATCTTTCTGTTGGGCAAATCATCTACAAAAGGATTCAAACTCTCTTTGTTCATTCTCATTGCTTCACAATCCCTGTGAATTTTATACCCTATGGACAGCCATTTACTAAGTATCTATCAATGCTGTGAGTCCAAAAGTTACCAGCCTGCCCTCAAACGGCAAAAGCCCACACTGTCACACAAACATAAAGTGAAAAGGCAAAGGTGTCCACGTTCAATAATGTGCATAGGGTGAGAGTAACACTGTACACAAGCAAAGCATGAGGCAAAGAGTGGGAAGGGAAGGCTCAGGGAGAAGAGTGGTTCCTGAGCCTGCAAGTTTCCAAGAAGAGGTGAAATGTGAAGAGGGAGAATGGAAATGTTAGGAAGAATGAAAAAGGTTGTCAAGTTGACTTTCTCACCACAGAATGTGGTTTATGCTAAGCCTTCAGAACAGGGGAGACGATCAAGAAGTAGGGCACTATCATATAAGTGTACCTGAACTCACGGAGAGCCTAAGAGGTAAGATTGAGAAAGTCCAGTGAAACTGGTCTAATGCCTTGAAGTCCACGTACATTTAACGTGTAGGCCCATCAGTTGCCATCCTAACAATGAGAGCTTCAAAATGGACTATGACTCTTCTAGCTGCTTTTCCCCAGTTTCTTCTGAAGTCTAGCAAGTAGGCAGGGAGGGCAGGGCCAGAAGATCCCCCCAGCGGCAAGACTGCGAAGCATGCATGCTATATGCTGGCCAATGCTTTCATAGGAATAGTTAAATACTGCTTTTGTTCCAATTAGAAAAGTCATTCGTGTTTCCACTAACAGAAATTATGTAGCTCCTCAGATTGCTGTTAATTTAGAACAGAGTTGTTTTTGCAAGCACTCCTAAAGTTCCAATAATTCTCAATAGACGGAGATAGAGCAAATGAACAGACACCAGGCAAGTGGCCTTTGCTAAACTTTCTTCCAGGTAAAGTATTTTTAATATGCATCAATATATAGGGGGTAAATATGTGTAGGTACTTATCTTTATTTATTTTATGGAATCACGATGCCCCTGGAAAACTAATGGAAAACATTAGTCTAGAATAATTTTAGGGATGTCTATCATTCATATGAAGTATATATTCATATTTGCCTTCTGGCAGAAGACTTTCCTTACACACAGCAGAGGTCGTAAACTCTAGCTGCTGTTTAATCCAACCTACAGATAGAGTTTAGCACAATCCTACTGCCTTCCTTTGCCACCCACCCAGGGTCCTCCGTAAACAAATAAAGAGATGATTTGGCTGAAGAATGGACCTTCTGTCATGCTGGTTAATTAATTCAACAAATAATTATTAAACAGCAATAGTATACATTGGCACTGGGGGATAAAATAAGATACCAAAGTTCTTCCATGATTTCTTTATGTAGTATAAAGAACGTTAAAGGAAATAATAGATCGGTAAAAAGGGCTTAACAAATTATTCTGACATCAGCATTTGGTAACAAATTAACTCCCTTTCATTTTCAATCTAAAACAAAAATCTTAATGGAAGTGGAGTTCGGGAAGAAAGAGAATTGTTAAAGACTAGGAGACATATTTAGTCAAAAAAAACCATAACTAATATTTCAAGGCCTTTTCACTGGGGAAGCAATCAGGTGGGATGAAAGTGACATTTAGATTCCATATGCTTCCATGATGGGGCTGTACCAAGGGCCTCTGGCTCATCTGTTACCTGTATCCTAAAGTTACTAATAAATATCCCAGAAAACATAATAACCATTATTAGCATTGCCAAATTTTAATAGCAAAGATGCAAATGTATTTGTACTCCATAAACAATATCATTCTTGCTATTGATTTTGTTATTCAGAAAACAGATTAAAGTACCACGATCCGGAATTCTTAATAAATTAGATATATGACTGGAGAGGTCAATTATTCCGTGATAGATACTTATTGAGCACTTCTATATACCAGGCACAGTTCTAAACATTTTATATGTATTAACTCATTAAATGCTCCAGGCAACTCATTTTACAGATGAGGAGATTGAGGCATGGAGCGGTGAAGTACTTTGCCCAAGGTCACACAACGAGAAGGTCGTGGAGCTCAGCAGTCTGGCTTAAAGCCCAAACCCTTAGCTACCATCGTATAAGGCCGCAAGACGCTTCTAGCTTTTGTCCTGTGATCACTGCATAGTCAACTAGACATTGTCTATCACTCTAACACAGACAAATAATAACTGGAAGCAGGGTATGATCCTGAGTGAGAAAAGAAATATTAAATTACAAAAAGAGAAAGCAATATTTATTATACTATAAAGGAGACACAGACATTTTAAAATGAAAAATTCTTTTAGGACTGAATCAAAGTAATTTTCAGGAATATGCTAAAAAAAATTTTTCCTTATAAGAATACCCACGCTTAAGTACTCTGATTAAAGTTTTAATTCTGCTTGGCCAATGTTTATCACTACCATAAGAATTAATACCTAATGCATCTGAAATTTTTACAAAAATTCAAGAATTACAATGGATACGGTTACGAAGGAAGTGGCACCTGAGGTGTAAATATTATTTTACAAGGTAGTGCTTATTTATATATATATAATTTCTCAAACAGAATATTCAAGTTCCTGAGCCAGTAAGTTCAACAGGGTTATAGTGAGCTAAGACCAAACCAAGTTTATCATGAATATATGGTGTTTTTATAGTGTGAATACCATAAAACTAATAATACAGCAATATTCAGCCTGCAAAATAAGGATAAAATTACTTTACACTTGCAGCCCCCAAAATTTTTATGTCAAAATATAAGCTTCCATCAAGAAGTCTTGTTCCCTGAAAGCAGTTAGATTTGACATAAAACAAAGTGTTAGGTAAGGAGATCAAGACAATTTGTTCTGTTCTGGAAATTTGCTACTAATCTGTTTTGGCAGATGTAGGTAGTGACTTTAAAAATTTAGCTATTCTGGAGGTGTTTCTTTTTTAAACAGCCCAGTTACCTAATCATGGTAGAAAAATGTCTAATAATTATAGATATAAATACTGTTAAGATGGTTAATAAATATAATTATACATTGACTATCAAAAACAGCAAGCTGTAAAGAATAATGAAAAATTTAGGTCTTTGCCAGCAAATGAATGAAATGACGTCTTAATGTTCAAATAACTTAGACCAAAGGCCTTATGACCTGGAATGTTAGTTTCCTACTCAGTCAAAATCCTGACTCACAATCACCATGTGCTTTTGCCACACTGACTTTTTGTCTCCTGCATTTCCCCATCTTGCCAAAGCCCTTAAGGAAGAAAAAGCAGTCTACTTAGCTACCCTTGGTTTGAGTTCTAACTACAGAGGCAAAAAGCACCTTAAAAAGTGGTTTGTTTTCATGGCATAGATAATTAAAAGAAAAAAATACGTTTGGTAATATGGTATCCTATTTTATATATAACTCCAGTATTGAATTTTAATGAACAAATGGGGAAAAAATAAACACTGAGGAATAATAAGTTTATCTATAATTGGCTCTATACTCTGGAGTCTTTTAGGACTTTGCGATAAAGAGTTTCCAGTTTTTGTATTGCTTGTAAGTTACCAGCACACAGAATGTGTGCATTGATTCCCATTTCCACAAATGTGGTTTCAGAATACTGAAAGTTTTTGCCTTTGCTAACATAGTTATACTTCTCCAGTAACACTAGTAGAGAAACACAGCTGGAGAAGGTTTTATTGGCATCATATTAACACAAAAAGGCTAAGGTTTTTTGATAAAATCAGCTTTGAAGGAGGTGTAAACATTTTTCTATAGTGTTCTCAAAGCATTACAGGGACCCCAAGATTTAACAAGCCAATTTCAGTTAATTAAAATGCTATATAAAATATTCTTCCACCTTCCTACCTAACTTTTAATAGATTCTTTTTTTCTGAGTGAACTTAATCTGTGCTTTTCAACAATCACAAAAAGCTCAATTGTTAGATGACAGATTGTTGTTGACACTCTCCTTGACTCAGCCAACCATTTGTGTTTCCGGTTCATTTGAACACCAAAATTGTATCGATGCAAGCTCGGTTAACATGTATTGTCTCTTATTTTAGTAAAGCCACATTTCTAGAAGAGAAAAAAAAAAAACACATCTCAGATGACTGTATATTAAAGCTAAAGCTGAAAATCTGTTTTCTGTTTTGTAAGTGCTTCCTGTGATAATGGGCTCCTAAGCACCGTAGCTCTTTGCTTCGCATTCATGGTCCTAGATATATTATTCAATTTTTAGTTCAATAAATATTTATTAGGCACTCACTATACTTTGGAGCCTGAGACAACAAAGATGCCTCCAAGAAGCTTACAAGCCAGCACAGGGAAGAGAGAATCACATACAGCTTAAGTAGAATATGAGAGCAATGAGAAGGTGGCAGGGGGCATGTGAACAAAGTGCCACGAGAGTCGAGAAGGATGGGTCACAAATGCTGCATCAAAAAGATAATTGTGGAGCCAGGCCAAGAATGATAAAACCACGCAGAGACGAGGAAAAGCAGAGCATGTGCTAGGGTTCCGGCACGAGGCAGGCACTCCTGCAGAGTGCCCGTCAGCATGCCAGGCGGAGATGCTGGAGAGACATGGGGGCGGGGGGTGGGGGGAGGCACACGGTCTGTCGGGGAAGGGCCCCGAGTGGCAAGCCACGGGATCCAGACGGGACCCCACAGGCACAGCAGAGACAACGAACAATTCGGAACATAGGAACGGTTTAATCTGCTGTGTCTTACAAATCTAACACTGGCAGCAGTATAGACAAAAGATTAAAGTCGAGAGACCCTTAAGGCAGGAAGAAAATTTAAAGGGCTATTCCCATAGTCCATGAAGACCTCAATTAGGGCAACAGTGATGAGAATGGAAGAACAAAAACCAGACATCTCAGAGGAATGGCTGATAGGACCGAGTGCCTGGATGTGCAGAGGGAAAGGCAGGAGAAGTGTCAAAGAGGATTCCAGATTTCTAGCTTGGATGACAGTTACTAAGGCAGGAGATGAAAGGAGGAGCAGGCAACTGAAGGAGCGTGTATTCTGTCCCAGGTAATGCCCATAAAAAGTTAGACATGTAGATCCAATGCCCACGAGATGCTTACCCAGACACCGAAGTAGGCCAAGGTCAGAGCCTTGGGAAAAATCATGAAGAGGCGGGCAGAGGAAGACAGACAGGTAACAGTTTAAAGGGGAGGGAGGAAAATAAATGGGAAGAGAGCATTCTAAAATACAAAGGAGACAAAAAATAATAGACAAAATGGTGGGTGACATTGTCAAATGCTGCAGAAAGACTAAGAAGGAGGAGATCATCTGATCTGGCCTTAAAGAAGTCAAGGGCAGCCTGTGGGAGACTCTCACCAGAATGGGGGGGGGTCGCCTCTCTTGCCCCAAGTTTGGCCATAAAGGAGACATTGTGGGCATCTGGGTGGCTCAGTCAGTTAAGCATCTGTCTTTGGCTCAGGGCTTGATCCCAGGGTGCTGGGATGGAGCCCCATGTGGTGCTCCCTGCTCAGTGGGGAGCCTGCTTCTCCCTCTCCCTTTGCCCCTCCCCCTGCTTGTGCTCTCTAGCTCTCTGTCAAATAAATAAATAAAATCTTATTTAAAAAAAAAAAAGGAGACATTGTGAGAAGTGACAGGACTGAGGGAAGTGATTGGCAAGACCACTCTGACCAATTCGGATGTACCTGTTTGCAGGTGAGGAGACAGGCAAATGGAGGGTAAGAGACTGAAGACATAAAGGAGAAAGGAGCTGGATGGGGAAACTCCCTAGGACTGTTCAGAAAGAACAGTACAGGTGAGTGGAGTTACCATGGGAAAATAGTAATGATTCTTGTAATCTAAAAGGGAAGAAAAAAAAAAAAGGACAAGTCAGATGTAGGTACACTTTGAGGTAGAGAAGAGGACAGTTAAGGGAAATCACTCCTGATAAATTCTAGGTTTTCGGTGGGACTCAAGGCAAAGTCAACCAGCCCTGGGGGCTGGAGAGGCTGTGTTGACAATGAATGTTAAGAAGTTTTGGAATAGCCGGTCTGAGGAAGAGCATGGGAGCCAAAATGGGATAACTAAAGTATTTATGAGCACTGAAGGGCCAGGTATTAGAACTTCATCTGAAATGGAGTCAACTGACAGCCAGGTGATGACATTCTCACCAATAGTGCTTAGAAAGAGAGAGACTCAGAACAGACACGAAATGGTCGAATTGATCTTATTTTGGAGGCTAGCAATCCAGTGGCTACAGAAAGAAGACCCAAGTGTAACAGAGAATGTAGGAAAGAGAAAGCAGAAAGGACTCTGTGGATCAGAGAAGGCAGAGAATGGAGAGGGCTGGGGAGGCAGGTAGGGATCATAGAGAGGCCATGGGGAAGGGTTAGTAGGTGGACTAACTGTATGAAAGGAGCCTCACAGGATTCAAGATATCAGAAGCAATGCACTGAGTGATAAAAAGGTCAATGAGATGGATTTCCAAGTGAATAAAAATAAAGATCACCCAAGTTAAGAAAGTTTAAAATAGAGTAGCTGTGAGACTTTGGCCAACTCACTGCCTCTCTGAATCTTGATATCCTCATCTGGAAATTGTGGACTAAATCCATAAGATAATGTATATATGAAGCACCTAGTCCAATGTCTGGCACACTGGAGGTAGTCACTAAGTCACTGATGATGATGAGCACCACGATTAGGAAAATGTTACAGAGAATGTTGGCAGTAGCCTGGTAGCTACAAAGTAAAGCAAAAGTCAAGGAATGAAGGTAAGTAAATGGCAGTGATGGGGACAAAAGGAGCAGCAGATCACTGGGTGGAGTTTTCAAAGGAGAGGAGAGTCCAAAAGCAGTGTTTAAAACGTCAGAACACAGTGTTTACCTCTTACCTGTAAAGATTTGGAAGTTACCAGAGAGAAAGCAATTTGCATTTAAGGGGTGAATAAGGGGAATTAGGCTGGAATAGGTCAGCCTTATTTTGTTCACTTTCAAATAGACACGTTTTAATTTTCTCTTTTAGTTTACTGCTTGCGATGGTCTTAATGTTTGTGTTCCCCACTACCTCCAGATTTATGTGTTGAAACCCTAACCTGCAATATGATGGTATTAGGAGGGAGCCTTTGGGAGACAATTAGGTCATAAGAATGGGGACTCCATGAATGGGATCAGTTTTCCTATAACTGGGGCCCAGAGCTCTCTCTCACCTTCACACAACCATGTGAGGATAGAATGTGTGGGAGAGGGGCACCTGGGTGGTGCACTCGGTTAAGCAGCTGACCCTTGGTTTCAGCTCAGGTCATGAGATCAAGCCCCGTGTCAGGCTCTGCACTCAGTTCTTCAATTCTCTCTCCCTCTCCCTCCAGCTTGCTCTCTCTCTCTCTCATAAATAAATAAATCTTTTTTAAAAAAATGCATGGGAGAAAAGGCACAGCAGGGGCACCTGGGTGGCTCAGTCATTAAGCATCTGCCTTCGGCTCAGGTCGTGATCCCAGAGTCCTGGGATCAAGCCCCACATTGGGCTCCATGTTCTGTGGGAAGCCTGCTTCTCCCTCTCCCACTCCCCCTGCTTGTGTTCCCTCTCTCGCTGTGTCTCTGTGTCAAATAAATAAATAAAATCTTAAAAAAAAAAAAAAAAGAAAAGGCACAGCAGGATGCAAAAATATGATCAACTTCTTTATGGCCCACAAACAAATCAAGTCACGGTGGTAGGTCGCTGGCTACAGAGCTGGAAACCAGCAGAGGCAGCCATGTGTTCCATTCCTGAGGGTCTACAGGCCAAAGGCCCCAGGCCGGAAACTGGGGCTGGGATCAGGCTCTCCCACCTGTGAAGGGGGCTGGAGAAGCTGTAACCAACTGCCCTTGGGCCAGGGTTTAGGCAGAGCTGCATCCTTGCCTGAGAAGCCAGCCTGCCGAGCTCACCAAGGGACAGAGCCTGGGTCATGAAGGTCTGTTTCTAGACTGGAGGACCTGGGCTTGGGGGGCGGGGGGGGTTGCGGTTCAAGTGGAACCAAGAAGAAAGCCAGTGGATGAGGAAGGGAAATCACAGAGAGAAGGGAGAGAAACAGAAACTCCCATCTAGTGTGAACCTACAAATGAAAATTCTAAAACACACAAGGAACATGAACACCAAGAGAACTAACAAAGCCTCCAACCAGGAGATGGATGCTCACAGGCTGAAATGCAAATAACAAAGCAATCTCACAATCACCTGTCATCTGAGATCTTCAAGGTGAAAACATGAAGAATACCCATAAAAAGGACAAGAAACTATGAAACAAAAATAGGCAGGTCCAAATAAAAACAGATGGCTGTCATAAAGAATGAATTATAAATGCTGGAAATAAAAGACATAGCCGTTGAAACCAAAATGGTTGGGGATACACCCCAGAATGGACACAGTTAAAAGAGAATTAGTGGATTGGAAAATAGCAGGAGGAATTCAGCAACAGGAATTTTAAAAAATGTAAAACAGAAGGTAAGAAATACTGAGAACATGGGCGCCTGGGTAGCTCGGTCGGTTGGGCGGCTGCCTTCGGCTCGGGTCATGATCCCAGGGTGCTGGGATCAAGCCCCACATCGGGCTCCCTGCTCAGCGGTGAGCCAGCTTCTCCCTCTCCCTCTACCTGCCACTCCCCCTGCTTGTGCTCTCTATCTCTCTGTCAAATAAATGAATAAAATTTTTTTTTAAAAAAAGAAAGAAATACTGAAGGCAGATTGAACATAAGTCTAGGGGATGTTACAAAAGGAGAAGTAGGGGAAAGGCAGGTAATATCCAAAAGGATAATGCCTAAGAACTTTCCATCATTGAACAAGCCATCAGCCCTAAGACTGAAAGCACACACTGAGGCCCAAAAGGATAAACTATACGGAGTCCATATCTAGGTATATTATGGTGAAACTGTAGAACCTCAGGGAAAAAGAAACAAATCTTATAATAATTGGTTTTGTTCTTCAACGACAGAAGCTTTTTAAGCAAAGGATGACATTAGGTAACTAGTATTTTAAGCAGATTCTGGCAGCACTACAAAGCCAGATAGAAGGGACCAGAAGAACGAGGGCAGACGATCAATTAAGCCAGAAGATGCCCTCATGGAGCTTTCCATCTAGTGGG